TTTCTAATTTGTTTTGTATGGTTAATTTTTGTCTAAATTTAATGGTTGTAAACAGTTCTTTAAAAAAAAAAAAAACAAGGTTTCTTGCTGATTTTTGCTAGGTCAGAGGTATTATCGGAACTAGTGGCAAATTAAACATAAGAGTGACTTTAAATAAGTATGATTATAGTCTATATTGAATAAAAAAGTTTCTTTTTCTATATGAAAAGTTACATAAGGCATAATATTAGGGAAATGTCAAAAATTCTCGGAATTCGATTGGTGGTATATTACATATCACAGGTTTTATAAGAAATAACTCAGGCCCGTGGTGGGAATACGTTCCTGCATATTTGTCCACAGCGAACGCTATCAATCGTTATTCATATCTACCGGAGTTTCCAGCTCCGGGTGGCGCTTATTTATGAATGGGTTTTTAGTAATAAGGTGTCGTATAGATTTTGCGAAAGGAGATTCGTGCGAAAATAATCTAACTTCCGGGAATACGTCATGAATAATTTATATCCGGATTGTTTGTTGGGTGACACGGGAATGAATTACTTATTTTCCTACCTTTATACATGTGCTTACTACTCATAGGTACGATAATAATGTGATATATTCTGCCATGGATATTAAACACACATCTATATATTTTTGCCCGTGTGTATGTAACTGAACTCCTCTTAATGGCTGGACCGACTTCGATGAAATTTTGTGTGATTAAATTGATTCGAGAATGGCTTAAGTCAAGAATTGGACCCTGTAGTTCGCGCTGTTGTCAAGATACAGAAATCACTCGTGCAAAGCCGCGGTAGATCGCTAGTTTTTTTTTATAAATCTGAAGAGACAAACTTACTTATAGTCCACCTGATGGTAAATGGCCATAGCACGCCATGGACAACTGCAGCCAACTTCAAACAAAAAGCCCATCAATGCGTTGTCATCGCCGAGGACTAATATAGACGGTCTCAGAGTCTGTGACTACACTGGCTCTCTTTTATCTTCAGACTGGAGCGCAGCTGTGCAGGTCTGCTATTTGGCGCAGTAGTCAGCTCCTAAAAGATAAGACGGTGGTTTCTACCCTGACGAACTCACAAGCAGAAAAAGATTCTTACCAAAATTTATTTATATTTGATAATTTTATACGTGGTAGGGCCAATTTTCAGCTATATTATGGTTGCAACACGAATGAGTCGGCTTCATCAGAGACACAGCATACTTCGAACCCTCTCAGAAATGAGGGGAGGCCTGTGCCCAGCAGTGGGACGTATATAGGCTGTAACTTTACTAACTTTTATATCACAGCATCATGACCTTGTGTTTCGTATGGTGAGTGTAGAGAGCCGAAGACTATTTTTACTGGTAACTAGTCACTTCATCTTAGTCTTTAGAGGTGATAACGCATCTTCTATTGATTATTAATCAGGGATAGATGCCGGTATTTATTAACCACAGCATCAACTTACCATCAGGTGAGTTGTCTCTGCTTGTCCTTCTTTGACAGTCATCTTTGACTAGAGCTATATAGTGAAAAGTGTTTAACAAAACATTTTGCCAATAGGTAATAAGTCAAACTATTTTGACCTAAGCCAAACTACTAGTTTACCGGAATTTCAGTCTACACTACTTTTGAATCAAGTCTGCAGTTAAAATTATTTTGGACCGCTTTCGTTGGTCAAAAGTAGTATTCACCGGATAACAGTGCTGACAATAACTAATATACGTGTGTTATCAAAGGCGTGACAAACGTGCCAGTCCACGCAATAGTAAGTCGGTGATGTGACACATAGACACCCATATCTATCAACTATCATCCATTATTATGAATCAAAAACAGTAAAAAGGGTGGATGAGTAGAATATCATCTTAATACTGCTGTGTTTCTTACGGTGAATATAGAGAACCGGAGACCTTTTTAACTGGATACCAGGCATCCCATCCTAGTCCTCAGGGGTGACAATGCATCTTCGTTTTGATTCGTAATTGAGGATAGATGTAGATGTTTTAAGGCCACAGCATCCATTTGCTATTAGGTGAACTGTGCTTGTTTGTCAACCTTATTCTATAAAAAAATCGTTATTCAGATCATATTAATTTAACGTGTGGAAGTTTTGTACATATGGCCGAAACTCTCCAGTCTTAATAGTTAACTTCAGATATTTCAGGTATTTTCGACTTCCGCAATCAGAGACACTGCAGAGGAAGTCGTCATTAAAGAGTTTGTACCTCACTAGATGCAAGCTACATCAGATGATTCAGCTCATTGTTTGTGCGTACCTGAGCCGTTTGCCTGATGGCCGTCTGATTGCTTGATTGCTTGCGCCGTGACCGAACATCCTTATCAGCGTGGCACGAGTCATTGATACAGGAACACGCCACTTTGCCCCGTGCGTAATATCGCGCTCGTTCCGTCATCGCCGGGATAATGAAGTGCGGTGTTCCGGTGCTTTGTTGTTGATATACAGTTGAGATTTTTATATTGCGTATATTTAAAAAAGTAATACAATCTACTACTCCATACAATACCGTGTGTCGTAAGAGGCGATAGAAAAACCGAAACAGAAGGTAGGGAGGATTTGCCTTAACTGTCACATCACGCTTGGTAAACGGATTGATAATCGCAGTATGAGATGCCATGTTGCTTTATAAATGGTAATAGCGCCATCTATCGCAAACCATAAGATTTATGCATTTCTCATTGAGAAGGTCGCTTCTAAGTTGTTTCTAAAATAAATTTTGTAAACGGTTTCCACAACCTTTCACATTGTAAATTTGCTTTAAAAAAAGTCCCTTTGGGTTTCTTGGTGGTCCTTCCCAGGACATAGATTTTGGTAAAGTAAAAATGACAATAACTATAATTCATAGGAATTATACCATTACCGAAAATGAGTATGGACTGTGGTGGCTCCCCAAGCACAAGCTTGCATCTTTTTAAGGAAAAAAGCAAAGACTAAACGATATGCAAAAGTGGCTTGCTTAGATTTTATAACTTTTTTTCTCGAGTAGTTTCACCGGCAGTATAGGTGTTGGGCGCAACTTAGATGAAGTGACAATCTGATGAAACTAAGAGTCAATATAGGTCGATATAGACAGGTGGCTCTGGACCGCGCTTTGTGACAAGCTATCGGGAAGACCTATGTTGATTCGCGGACTTGTAATTGACTATAATGATGATGATGAATCTTTGTTGCTTAGCAGGCCATCATTATTACGCCAGATAACGAGAACTTTACTTGTTCTAGTACCATGGAAATAGAATTTTGTATTTAAAGTAAAAAGTAAAGTAAAGTTACAGCCTATATACGTCCCACTGCTGGGCACAGGCCTTCCCTCACTTCTTAGAGGGTTTTAGGGCAAGGAAGTATCCGCCGCGCTGCCCCAATGCGTGTTGGCGAACTTCACATTAGTGATGTAACGGATATTCGCATTCGCATTCGCGAATATCCGCATATTTTTCAATGTTCGCATTCGTATTCGCATTCGCAAAAATTATGCTAATATTTAGCGAATGTTTTTAATAATCTAAAAGGAATGATTTCTTATATTTACGCAAACACTATACATTGATTAAAACTACTTTTTTAAGGATTTTGTCGCGTTTTATTTATATTAATTTTAATAACCGACGTTTCGGGTGCTTTCCAGCACCCATGGTCACGGTTGACTGAGGTGACTTACGTCCCGATGTCAAAAAGTAGTTTAAAAAAAAGTAGTTTTAATCAATGTATGGTGTTCGCGTAAATATAAGAAATCATTATGTAAACCAGTACGGACTGGAAATAGCTTTGACATCGGGACGTCAGTCACCTCAGTCTCCCGTGACCATGGGTGCTAGAAAGCACCCGAAACGTCGGGTATTAAAATTAATATAAATAAAACGCAATAAAATCCGTAAAAGTAGTTTTAATCAATCTAAAAGGAAATTATTATATGCATGCATATTAAATAATAATACAATAGATAAAAACACTTAGATATTTTTATTAAATCATACTTCTACATTCTAAATTAAAGTCTCATTTATGAAAAAAGAACTTCAGAAATCTGATCAAATCTAACATTAATCAGCCTTGTTACGACTATGTAAGGTTTGCATTTATTTAGTGGTATATTATTACTTTACTACCATTTTTAAATAAAGTTTACAGTTTCTATTTACTAAAAAACTAAACAATAACTTGAAATAAAATTATTAAATTTTACATATCTAATGTATTAAGTATTTATAACCTTTGGCTTTAAATGTATATTTTTTCATTCCACTTTATATATCTGAGGAATTAAATATATTTATAATGAATGAAATATAAACTTAAAAAACAAAACAACGAATACTTAACTATTTGTAAATAAACCTTTTTTCAAAAACAAAATTATAATTATTTTTATTTTAAACTAAAGTAAACTTCTAATACTTGTTATGTTAACATTTGGTTTTTGGTTTCAATTGCAAGTTATTTATCTATGTATAAAAATAACGATATATAAGTAAGTAAGAAGGTACACAAAATATAGTTTTTCTAATAACATGTTGACTATTTAATTATTAAATTTGTTGTAATTTTTAATTCTTAATAATTAAATTGAAGCAATGGAATGTTAAATTTTAAAAATAAAAGTTTGGGGGCTCTTTCTCCGTGCAGCCTGTCTCGGTGAGGTATGTAAAGTAGTCCAGCTGCACTGAAAACTCTTTCACTGGGGACAAGTCTTCTTTGGGCGGAGTTACCAAATATTCTTTGGCTACTGGAGAAAGAATGCCATATTTGTTGCTATTTACTTTCCACCAAAGAAGTGGATCTTCTTCATTTTCAATACGTTTATCCAAAACATATTCATTAATATTTTTTTATTATACTTCTAATGGATTTGCAATATCATTATCTAGTTCTTCCTCGCTTTCACTTGAGTCCATCATCATTTTCATAGTTTCTTTTAATGTCACAGATTTTTCTAAAAGACATTTTCATTATCCTGATTCCTTATTTTAGGACGCTTTGGCTTTGATCATGACAGCAAACTTAAGTCCTCGTCTCCAATCTAAAATATTTTTCATGACTTGATCTTTTGTTGAAGGATTTTTGAAGAATTTCGTTTTGATCAATAAACTTTGCTGTAGCAAATAATATGTCGTTTTCTAAGTGAGAAAATCTGTGTCTCATTTCTTGTCTTAAAACAAGTATAGTGTTCCTAATGCACTCGTCAGATGCATTATATTCATCAATCACCTTTTCCAGAGTGGCCAATAACGGAATCACAGATGATATGGAAACATTGGCTGCACTTAGTTCTCGAGTTATTTCTTCAAAAGGTTGAAACAATATAATCAATTTTTCCACAAGTATCCATTCTTCTGAAGTTAGTTGTGAAATTTTGTTGCTAGTGGAAGCATAAAGGCACAGCGAATCTTTGTTCTTCAAAATGCGTTCTAGCATGTAAAAGGTGCTATTCCACCTCGTAACACACTCTTGGATTATCTTGAACTTTGGTTGATTAAGCTTTTCTTGTAGATTAACAAGTTCATCTTGAGCTACATTAGAGTGGTGAAAATGTGTAGCTATCTTGTTACATTTGTTAATGGCTGTAATGATCGATTCTTGTGACTTAAGCCCTTCTTTAACAACAAGTTGGATTTGGTGCGATAAACAATCTATGTTTTTAATACTTAATAAAGAAATACCTTTTTTCATGTTAGTGCCACCATCTCTAACAATACATAATACGTTTTCTTTGGGAATTCCCCATGATGACAACATAGTTTCTAACTTTGCCGCTATATTTTCTCCTGTATGTCGCCCATCATTGAATACTTCTGCTTTCAATACAATCATTTTTCGTTCAAAATTATTGGTAATTCCGTGACAAGTGAAACTTATCAGCGACACTCTAGAGCAAGAGCCAGACCATATATCAGTTGTTAATGCTAATTTTTTAAATGATTTGATTAATTCCAGAATTTTATCTTTTACCTTGCCGTATAATTTCTCACAAATGAAGGAAGTAAAATATTGCCGACTTTTTAAATTATATGAAGGCCATACTTGGTTAATCAATCTCACAAATCCAAGACATTCCACAAAACTAAATGTTAATAATCGCACTGGAGGACCCAGTGCGATTATTTCGCCAATCAAATTATCCAGCACCAAAGACTTGGTGTTGTTGTTATCCTACTTTTTATTTTTTTCAACGCAATCAATCAAAGATATTTGCTTAAGGTCAGTTTTGGTACATTGCCGCGAAGAGGACGCCAAAGAATTAATTTTAGCAGCATCTTACTTTTCATGTTCTCTTTTTTTCAATTCTTCATATTCATTTTTGTGTTTAGCTTCCAGGTGATTTCTGATAGCACTAGTGGTCCTGCCTTTGAGCGAGTACTTTTTATCACACAACTTGCAATTAACATTTTCAGCATCACATATTGTAAAATAAGTCCAAACTTCGCTGATGTGTGCTTTACTCATGTTTTTATGCCACTTTGTCCCTTAAATATCAGTTAAATTTGATAAATAACATAAAACTAACCTCAAAACAAAACAAAACTTTTAGAATGAACTTTCTGTGACTAAATTCATCAATTAACCAATATCGGCTCGGCTATGTTCAATTTAAACATGGCCGACACGAAACGTCAAACCTGTCAAACATTTTACGCGCGCTTTTTTTGAAATTTTAAAATATTCTCATTTTTATTCGCATTCGCGAATGTTGAAGATAAATATTCGCAATCGCATTCGCATTCGCGAATGTGAAAAACCAACATTCGTTACATCACTATTTCACATGTCTTCGAAATATTTTTTTTCTTATTCCTCAGACATGCAGGTTTCCTCACGATGTTTTCCTTTACCGCCGAGCTCGTGGTAAATCAGCACTTAAAACTGCAATTGACAATTTCATTGGTGCCGGCGGGGAGCGAACCCGGGTTACTCGCGTTCTGTGATATTTACAGCGTTAGCCATCTGAGCTACCAGGGCTCTATCGCATAAATACTTTATTTATTTGGTATTTGTTAACCGTTATTACTGTAGCTACAAGTGATACTGTGATACAAGTAGCTGTGATATCACAGGGGCTAACATTTTTTTAATAGGATAGGATTACAAACTAAGCACACAGTCCACCTGATGGTTGCTGTGGTCCATAGACATCTACATCTATAAAATATAAAAATATAAATTTCTTCGCAACCTTCCGTTAAATAAATTCAATGATGTGTCTTACCTGGATTGAAGAGCACCTCCCGCCCTCCCTCAATTGCATGCACTAACTCCGTCACCACTAGTCCCAGCACCACTACTCCCAACACCACTATTCCAGGTATGACACACTATCGACGATAATACTACGGCGGCTGACCGCGGCGGTGAGGTGAGGGAGGGCGGGAGGTGCTCTTCAATCCAGGTAAGACACATCATCGTATTTATTTAGCGGAAGGTTGCGAAGAAATTTATATTTTTATTTTTTATTATAATGGATTTCCGCAAAGTACCGCCTGATTCTATCAATTATCTACATCTATCCTCGATTACGAATCAAAATGCGTTTTCACCCGTGAGGACTAAGATGGAATGCCTCGTTTCCAGTAAAAAGGGTACATTCACCATACGAAACACAGCAGCGTTAAGCTACTATTTTATGCTGGTATTCTTTGAGAGCGTGGTCCTGCCTCGGTCAAGCCGACCCATTCGTTCTACAACTATACTACTGATATGTAACTGAAGCAAGGCTCTACCACGTATATGCAGCATGGCTCTACCACGTATACCACTAAATTCTTGCTGTGAATTTCAAATACGGCAACAATCCGGGTTCGATCCCCGCTAGCACTAATAAAATTGTTAATTGGAATATGAAGCGCTAATTTAATTCTTGCTCGATGGTTTTGGAAAATATTGCGAGGAAATCTACAGTTCGAAACCATGTGAAATCCGCGAGATTCTAGAGCAGCTCAACGGAATAATATTGTTCCGTAAGACTCTATACCCAGCAAGCGAAGTGTACATAGGCTGCAACTTTAGTTTACTTTTGACTTTTGCTTTCTTTTTTTCTGAACCATGTTATGACGTTTGATTTAGAGTGTGTTCCGATATACACTTTGACCACTGTAAGGTGTGACGTCAATTCCGTATACTGTGAAGCTGTTTCTTTTTAATTTAATATACTGGTTACTGTTTAAAATAAAACGCAGTCCAGTATACTGTCATCCCCATTTGTTGACATTGTTTTTAAATGAAAATATTTACACGTTTTCATTTGAATATTGTTGCTTTTAAAACTTATTGTCCGAATTTTTTTGAATAACAGTATTAATTAATAATAATGACAGTCATTTGTGGAAACTGTTATCTCCAAACGCTGTTATGTTTTTTGATCACATGATCAAAGTACTGAGAGCACCTTACCTCGAAAGCGCCAGTGCTCACAGTACAAAAGTGGCAGCGATTTATGACGTCATATATTTCCCTAGGGTACTGCGGCCACAGACTAAAGAGTAAGGACCTGCGGCAGTATGCTGGTAGTCCATAACGGAACAAATTTTTCACCAGTGAGAGAACTGAGCAGTGCTAGCCATGTGCTCGCACCCTTATGCACCCTTAGTCTTAAATGTTTGTGCTGGTTTAAAATTTTCAGCTAGTGATGCCATTTATTGTTTTAAAAACGTTTACATTTTATTATTGGTTTTAATAACAGAACAATACTTATAACAGGTAGGCACTCCATTTTCTTTTAATTTTCCTGTTTAAAGTATTTATGCGATGAATCACAAGGCCGTACCTGTTGCATTCCAATACATATACGTATTTTCGCCGACTTTAAAAATAATTAGTCATAACATAAATAAAAATATCGTTTAGAGGTATTAAAAACGATGATTACTTTATTTAGATTTTTATTAAATTTTTCTTGGATTGAACAAAATTCTTTTTTACTGCTCTATGTGAAGTATATTGTGAATCTCATGTTAGTCTGGGACATATAGGTCTGATAATAAGAAAAAAACATATCTTTACTTGTTAAGCATGACGTAAAAAGCGATTAATGGGATTGGGGGTTCTTCTCTTATAATCTTCCATCTAAACCCATATTTTTGTGCAACTGTGGTCCGAATATCTCGTCCTAGCGTAGCGTGACCCTATGTAGTTTTATATGCTATGAGTGTAACGATAAATTTCGAATACTGTTGGAAACAGAGCCGTAGTAGCTAGTTCTAAAAACAGGTCGTAAATTTCGTAGTAAGTGGATAATTTAAATTCGAGTACTGATTCACCGTGTAGGATAGGCGGCGTAAGGGATTCCACTACCCCATATCCTTTTGATTACAGTTCAATTAAAAAACGAGGTTGCCTATCTGCCAAGCGTGGCAACTATGGCAAATATACTGCCATTGAGGGAATATGTTCAGCAGTGGTATTTTAATAGGCCGTAATGATTGAAAACATGGAGTGTTCGACGGTGAAGGAAAACATCGTTTCGTGGACGTGACTCGCAATGGACTATTTGCTCCATAACTCTGACGAGTTTGCGCAAATTTGGGTGGTACATATAATATTTTTTTCATTGATTTAAGACATTTGAAAAATAGTGGTCAGTTGCCGCAGGTATTTTAACTAAAATTATTTAGTGATCCCGTCCGCCGACGTTGCGCTTGTTTTAAGAAAAGTAAATTAATTACACTTAAATATATATATTGTTTATTTTGCAACTTAAACTTAAACTGCAGACTTCCTTTTTTGTTTTCATTTTTCATTTGTGATCATATTCTAGACGGACCCAACCATTACGTCAGATTTGATAGACCACAAATCCTTGTGAAAGAACACCGATTTCTACCAAGGATGATACGTGTACGTACGTTGTGGTTACCAACCCGAACGTGGCAACTATGACAAATCCCGCTATGAGGCAATCTTTGTTTTTTTTTCTATTTATTTATTTAATCTATGGGGGAGGCCTGTGACGGTAGTAGTGTGTAGACTGTTACCATTTGTTCGTAGCCTCTAGGTGTCCTGGTCCCTCACAATCATGATGAATCTCCGTGGCCCAACCAGTATCCAAATCACGCAGAAGGCAATATTTAGTAATTATAGTTATATATTTGTCTAAATATTTTTATTTTATGCCACTAAGTCACTTGAAACGAGTGGTTCCAATGGCTGTGTAAATAAGTAGTGCTTCCTCTTCATAGCTAATAGCACTCATGCTAGGGTACCGATGGACTTGCAATAACACACCAAAAAATAAAGTTCACAGTCCACCTTTAGTAGTTGCTTTGGCCCATAACATTACTAAAGTCTTTTTCTCCACAACACAGCAGCTAGCAGCAGTTAAGCTACTTTTTTACGCTGGTATTCTGTGTGAGCGTGGACCTTCCTCGGCAGAGCCGACCCATTCGTGCTACAATATGCATTCGTGATGCAGCATCGCTCTACCATCTAAAAAAATAATGTAAAAAATTAATTAATTAATATAAAATAATGCTATGATAACAATAGACTTGAAAACACCACAATCATCATATTATATAAAATATAAGACATAAAATAATGTTAATTTAAGTTTCTCTAGCAACTTATTTATGAATAATCAATTTTTGAATCCGGAGTCGAACATCCGGATCGCATTTTGCTTCGTGATCAATGGAGTGACTCAGAGCGACATAGTAAAATTTCGCGATGGCACTTACTACGTTTCTTGCGCTATCTACTTAGCAGCTGTCAAGAAGAGGGCTACCATTGTTTATGACTGTATTAAAATGTTTTATTTACCGCAATAATTATAGTGCTTAATATTTAATTGCTTTCATCTTTGCACTTTTAATAAATATGTA